GTCGACTTCCTCTTCTTCTGCGTCTCTTCCTAGCCTTCCCCCCCCCCTCCTCTTCGTCCGCCGCGCCGCTGACTTTCGCAAAGTTAAGCGAGCGACTACGATGGGAAAAGCAGCGTGTCCACTCTCGGACAGGAATGGAATTACTCGACCATGTCGAGCGCTCGACTGTTGCGTCGCACGCGAGATCCGCTGTGCCCGCCAATTGTACAGTAAATACGGCGGAATATCATTTGCGCATTGAACCTTTCGCTGCGCGGCGCGAAATTCCGCCGCGAGAAACTCTCACGCGGCTCTAATTACTTTTTGCATTTTGCAGAACTTCACCTTCGTCGTCTCTAACGCGTGCTGCGCGCGGTTGCAATTTACCGCGTGACAATTTAGAAACTACGCTCGCGCAAGCTGCGCACGACTTGGCGGAAGTATTTCGCCTGAAAAGAAATACGATATTTACGAAATATGGGGATATGCGATATTTCCCGAAGACCCGAAGAATTGTTGTGTGTTCTCCGCGTGCCTTCTGACGTCAAAGCATACTTCGATGATATGAAATATGTGGCGGAGCACTCCGTATATACTCGGTCCAAGGCGACGACGCGCCGGTAAGCATTGTCCCATAACTTTTACGGGGGCGACTGCTTTTATGCTTGGAAGCGAGGACGCGGCGGAAATGTATTAAAGCGATTATGTTGCAACGCCGAGAGAATACACGGAGAGATAGCGACGGAGAGAAAAAGAAAGAGAGAGAGAGAGAGAGAAAAATACGGAGGGCTCGCAAAAATCGTTGGTTCGGCAGCAATAACAATCCCAGCCTTCAGACTTCAAAACTCAGAATCCGTCTCACACGACAATCCAGTTCAGAGCCCCACACTTCGCTGAATGCCGCTCCTCAACGCGCCCTTAATGCGGGACTTGTACTCGGGTCGGGAATCGACGCGTTTCTCGAGACTGCGATGGCTCGGAGGTGATATTTCTCTTGTTTTCCCCCACATCCTTCTCTCTCTCTCTCTCTTTTCGCGCGCGGCGACGAAAACGTATTAAAACGTTTTTCCAGCGCGCGCGGAAAAGCGCGAGAGGTGGGAGGAAGGGTCACCGTGGCGGCAAGGGCTGCGCGGGGGGATGAATGAAAGAGAGACGAAAGTACAGACGCGGGTGAAGAAACGGAAGAAAAGGGTAGCAGTCGTTGACGGAGTAACTGGAGTGGCGGAAGGGGTTTAACTCCAGGAAAAAATGGTCGTAGGACGGCGGAGAAAATAAAGGGGAAACGGTTCGTATGAAAATGTAATTAGGGGAAGCGTGGAAAAGCTCAGCTCATTGCGGCCTCCACCCTTTCATTTCGCCACCTTTTCTCGCTTCCTCCGCATTTCCTCCCTCTTCCTCTCTTCTCGCTGCACTTCCGCCTTCGCCTCCCGCGAGCTCTTCCACCCTTTCTCTCACCTTCGCGCGATTCTTCCCGCTGCCACCAATTATGATTCATTAATCGCGGCATGCGCGCCGATGGCGAAATTTATCGACTCGAGCGGGAATCCG